TCAAACCAGGTTTCGTGCTTGAATGGTGATGCTGCTGGATTCATGTCAGAAGCTTAACGCTTCATTTGGTACAACCTTTTTTCTCAAGAAATAAATGATTAACGATCAACTTTTAATTTGGCCCACCACTTGATTGCATCTCTGCTACCCATCGTTTCCCTTTCTAGATCTGGGTGGATGAATCCTAACTTTCACTTCACCGTTACTTTCCAAAGAATCTGATTAAACCCAGTTTAACTGTCATTAATTTGTTGTTAAGGAAAGTTACGGAAATAATAGTTCAAGTAGCAAAACAATAATTAAGCACAAAAGATAAATACTTTTCTTATTAGGTAAAAACATGATGTTAAATTCTAATTTAGTGAGTTAGTAATGTCAATATTTATTAAATTAATATCACATATTGATATTATTATTAATTTAATGAATATTAACGTCACAGACCAGTGAGTTGGAATAACATCATATAAGTTGAGTAAAAACGTTTAAATAGAATCTTGGTTCATGTCATCCGCAAGAATATTCCGACTTCCTTGGTCAGGGACTTGGTATCTGGTTTCCTATTTATCATCTGTTTGTTGCATTTGAGGCCACCTCCTATGTGTGAGCGCAGCTTGCTGCATCCGAGTTTTCACTTGTATCTAGTCCTTATAGCACCTTGCTCTGGATCCATCTGGGCTCTTACTCAGCCACAGACTCCATAACTATCACGCCCCAAACCCTGGGCCCGTGACCAGCACTGGAATCCATTGATCCCAGTAAGCCTCAACAAACTAGTCAAACTCCAAAGATACGAAACATACACTAAAAGCAGTAATACAACATCCAATAACCACCCGGGATCCTGTCTGAGAGTACAAGGAAACTACTCTAGAATACAATAAATGATAGATATAAAAGAGAAGTGCTCGTACATCGATCAAATCCGTAGTCGCTATCTCCCACACTGGTGCGCTAACCAAGGTGAGTACAGTCAAATGAATCTGGAATGTTTAAAACTATGAGTCGCGAAACTCAGTGAGTACGGATGATACCTAATCTATACATGTTGGGATATGCATTATGCCACAAGTACAAATCATACGTACACATATATACACAGTGAGCAGTAATTAAAACACAAATGTGAGTTATCAAGGTAATCAATCATCACATCGCATCAATCACAGGGCCAGTGTACTCCCTACATGCTACGGTAGAACACCGTCTGCCGGATGGGCCCCTGGCCACACAACTCATCTCATCGTCGGGCCAAGGTACTCCCCGTATGCTACGGTCTACCGTCCGTCAGCTGAGTCTGCTATCCCGTACACATCACATTACTGGGCCAGTATACTCCCCGCACGCTACGATAGCACACCGTTCGCCGGCTGAGCCCTTAGCCACACAACTCATCTCATCGCCAGGCCAAGGTACTCCCCGTACGCTACGGTCCACTGTCCGTCGGCTGAGTCTGTCATCCCGTACACATCACATCACGAGACCCTTGTCTCGTCTTCTCACGATCGGAGGAACCCACCATCTCAACGATTGGAAGAATTGCACTAGTGCATATCACATCCGCGGCCTCTGCCGCCTCACATCACACATCACATCGCGGCCTCTGCCGCCCACGGCTCTTGCCGCCTCACATCACATGATACCATCCTCACATGTACTCAAAAATAAGTATACATACGTATATACAGTTCACATCTCAAACAAGTATCACATACTAACATAGCTCACTGACAGTTCACAAAATACATAACACATATCCCGAGTATAACGTATAATCAAAGTACAGTTTTCAAATCATATAATCATCATGTCAGAAAACCACAGTATGAAAACACAAGCATAGAGAGGGTATCATCACTCACTGTACAAGGCTGAACAAAAGGGACTCCCAATCGCGCTCACTCGTCCCACTGATCTGGACGCACCTCCACCGGCGTATCTGTAACCAAAATCACACAAAATCATCACCATCGCCGAAATCGGCACAAGAAACAGGCTCGGAAGCCTCAAACCAGACTCAAATCCCACACTGGCCCCTTGGCGCGCATCTCGAGGCAACACAACCTATCACCAGAACCTACGCGACTCAGTAACACTGAACAAATCTACTTAACCGCCCTCAACACTACGAAACCAGCCCCCACAAACCTCGAACCACAGCGAACCGCCCTCCAAAACCCTTGAACCAGCTTAGCCGGTCTAGAACTACTTCCAACTCAACTCAAATAGCCACGAAACTCTCAAAATCGGATTTAGAAGGCCCAAGAACCCTTAGGAACCATTATGAACCGGCCAAAAAATGGCTCAAACCAGCTCCGAACCGGGCCAAAAACCCTAACCCTAAGCATCAGCGCGCAAACCGAGACTAGTTCACCTTGAACTGATCACCCAAAAATCACCAAATTTCATGGTTAGCTGAGTTTTATCATATTGAACCAGGAACCGGTCCAAACTCCCCAAGAATCGGCCTGAAAGCCAGTGAACCGGTCATCCGAGCATCAATACACTAAACCGGCCAGTTCACCTCGAATCGGGCACCCAAAATTTTCCGAACCCACTTGGTTTGATAGGTATTTTTCCTCTGAATTCAGAACCGGTCCAACCTCCCAAATCCGAGTCAAATTGGCCACTGAACCGGCCGGTCAAAGCCCTTGGCCGGTTCAGTCAAACCCTTTCCTTTTTTTTTTTTTGAGCCGGCTTAGCTCGAGCCATGGCTCGCAGCTCGGCTCGGTTCAGGCCACGGCTCGGCCCACCTGGGCCAGCCCAACCCAAGGCTTGGCCCAACCACTCAGCTGGGCCAGCCCGAGCCCAACTTAACTTATCTTTTTTTTTTTCCTAGCCCGCAGGCCAAGCCCACGGGCCGTGGCCCAACCCACTTCCTGGCCTGGGCCCAACTAGCCCAGGCCCGAGCCCACAAGGACTGGCCGACTCGACCTAGTGAGCCGAGTCGACTCGGCCGAGCTAACTCAGCACGGACCCGGATGGAACCAGGTCTGTCGTCCCAACCCGGTTCTTGACCGGAACCTGCTCCCGGGTTTGCAACACGACTTGAAGGCAAAAACGAAGCAATAAACCGGGAAAACAAACTCACCTCGGCCGATTGATCCACCTCGTCCTCAGCTCCGGTCCCGACGACTCCCACGGCCGCAGCTAATCGGAGCAAACAGCCCAACGATCCTTCAAAAATCGAATTTTCTCCCCCTCGGCTCCTGCTGAACCAGATGACCCAGAAAATTTTGAAATCCCTCACCCACTCTCACTCAAGACTGAAATCAACTGAGGGTTTCAGTTGAGCCTTCAAATACACACGCAAAGGCGTGAATAATTTGTCAAAATCATCACATGGCGTGGAGGATTTGGTGAAAAACCATCATTTGGCCACTGTTCATGCCAGATTTCTGTAAATTGCAGATTTGGTCCCTGGACTTTGTGTCATTCACAAAAAGGTCCCTGTGAAAATTTGTAGTTCAGCCCCCACACATTTTAATTCCCGCAGATCAGTCCTCGATCTAATTAAAATTGAAAATTGGGTTGTTACAATTGTTTAGTTTAAAGGGTTCTATCACTTAGGAGTGTTCGTGATTCGGTTTGGTTCAGTTTGATACTCAAATTTAAATCAAATTATACTTTACAATTTATAATTTTTATAAACTAAACCAAACTACGGTTTATGGTTTGATTCGGTTTCAAACCACGATTTGTGATTTACAAAATAAAATAGATTAAATTCACTATTTTTATAAAAAATTTTAACAGAATTTTCCAAAAAATTGGTCATCCATTAACATGTTTAACTTAATAAATTTATTATTTATTAATTAATTATAGTAGTTATACATTTTATAATAAATATATTTATACCATTTTACAGAATTTCACTATTACTAATAAAAATTACACTCTTAAAAAGAAGAATAATTAAATATTAAAATGAATATACATATAAAAGATAACAAAAAGAAGAAATATAAAGTCAAATAATAAAAGTATACTATATATATAAAAATAGGATTTTTAGTTTTGTATATACATAAACTGTATGATTTAGTTCGGTTTATACAGTTTGTCTAAATATCAAACTCAAACCAAATCATACTATATGATTTGGTTCAGTTTTATACTATTTGGTTCGGTTTGTTGAACACCCCTACTATCACCTCTTCATCAAGTTGTATACTTCAAAAGACATAGTTTAAAAGATTATTTACACAAAACGAACTTCAAACAATAAAACTCTAAACAGAGAGAGAGAGAGAGAGAGAGAGAGAGAGAGAGAGATGGTAAACTGAAGTAGGGTTGTGATATTTTGGCTCACTTAAAGCTAGATAATGAAGTCCGTAAGAAAGAGAAAAATTTGAAAATTCTAAAAGATAGGTAGCCAATAAATTAGAGGTCAATGTACTTTAGCTGTACGCTTTAAGTAATTTTTTATCTTTTGCCCTTTAACTGGCACGATTTTACACGTCTTACAGTAAAGTAGTTCGTGTATCTACTCCTATACAAAATTATTCACTTGACGGGAAAGCATATGCTAATTAAGAAGGGTTCTGAATTACATTGTGAAAGAACCTAACTTTTGGCGAATCAAATCGTTTCAACTATCTGTGGAGCACCATCTGATATTTGGTTTTCTTCCTGGACAACCATTTTTCTCATCTTGGTCAACCACTTGATCTTCCCCACAACATAATCATACAGCCCAAGTGCCACGTGGACCCCGATCCCCGCCACGATGCCGTTGGATATGGAGTAGGTCAGTGGCATGAGAAGCATTGTAACAAAGGCAGGCACTGCCTCCTTCATGTTGTTCCAGTCTATGTCTTTCACGCACTTCATCATCATCACCCCAACCATGACCAAAGATGGCCCTATTGCCCATGGTGGCACGCTGGACAGCAGAGGTACGAAAAACAAGGACAAAAAGAAATATACCGATATAATCACAGCAGTCAATCCCGTCCGGCCTCCTTCCCTCATCCCGGCTGACGACTCAACGTACGTTACAACTGTTGAGACTCCCAGGGCGCCCCCACGGCGGTTGCTCCACCGTCGACCATGTAGGCTTGGTATTCTCCCTCTATATTCCCTTGCTCATCCACAAAGCCTCCAATTTCAGCTAAGGTGTACAATGAGCCTGTGGTGGCTAACACATCGATATATAACAAGGTAAATAAGGCCACCCACACGTTACTCCTATTGAATTGAGAGAAGCTTATGGCCCCTGCAGTGGACTTGATAGTGTGGAAGTCCACCACCCTTTTAAAATACTCGTATCTTGACTCACCAGTTCGGTTGTTGGGGAAGTGTGTCACACTTGTGCCCCTAATCCACGAAACCAATGTCACAAAGAGCATACCATATATCATGCTTCCCTTAATTTCCTTCATTAGCCCAAATGACATGATTAGGAACCCGGCGGTACCAAGCCAGAACGTCGGACTGCGCATCTTTCCCCCGGTGCACGCACCGGTCATCGGATCCGTACTGGTGCAGGTGAGAGGGTTACCAGCGTGGCGGAGTCTGGGCCTACCAGGCCCACACCCTGGTCGGCCTGTAGGCCACAAAGGCGATGAAAAGCCCAATTTCGGCAGCACAGGCCAGCCTCACCGGATTCGGCATAAGCCGGGCCAGCTTGGCCCGCATACCAAAAGCTGCTATAAGAAGAAAGGCAAGACCCTCAAGCAACATAACTGCCATTGCAGTTTCGAATGACATGGGCCCAGAGCCATGAAAGCCCACCATGTTGTAAGCTAAGTAGGCATTAGGGCCCATACCGGGGGCCAGGGCGAGGGGTAAATTGGCCAGGCAGCCCATAGTAAACGACCCAATCATAGAGGATAATGCAGTGGCCACAATGAGGTCATTCTTGATCTTAGAAGGCACTTTTCGTACCCCTCATTGGCTTGAGCGTGCAGTCTGGACCTGCGGTCTGGTTCACCGCCGGCGGGCTGCAGTCGGAGATGGAACATGTGGCGCCGGAGTCGGCGAGGATGTTGGCGTTGACAGTGATGATGTAAGCCATAGTGAGGAAAGTTGCAGTAGCCGCTCGGAGCTCCTGGGTGAAACAACTCTTCCTATCCTCCAACTTGAAGTACTCGCCAACCTTACTCTTTGAGACTCTCTCGTTCAAGCCTCTCTCCATCTTCTTCCACGAGTTGCTTAACCTTGTCAACCTACTAGTTCCCATTCCAGCATGAATCTCTCACACACGCGCACTCTCTCTCTCTCCTCCTCTCTCCCTCTCTCTTTGTCTCTCTGTGTGGGGTTCATGTGTAGCTGTGAATGGTTATGTTGGAGATTTTTTTAGTCTTTATAGGGAGAAGGCATTTCTTTGAAGGAAAATTGACTTAGGGGAGAGAGAGAGAGAGAGAGAGAGAGAGGCAGCCTTGGTTTTTGTTTGCGAGGTGGTATTGGTAGAACGTAGTTGAAATTTTAAAGTGTTGTTTGGCAGATGAGCAGTGTGTGAACTTTATGATGGTCAATATTTACAACTGAGAATTTAAGATGCTTAGTGGCATAATGCGGCTTTTGATTGGTTGAGTTGTTTTACAGCCACATGAGAAATGCTGCGAAAAACAAAATAAACAAACAAGCGGATGAGTTAAATGTTGTCAAATGTTTACTTTTCACATTTTTTTTTTTGTTTCACATTAATAAAATGCATATAGATGTGGCAAGCGACTTGAGAAATATGGGTACCCTTTTAATATCTTTTTGAAGAATTGACTATTAAATTAAATAATATATTTTTTAACATTATCAAAAATGCCAAATCTCAAGGCAATCAAGTCATTAGAGTTCCTGATGGGTACGTGATAAGAATCACATTATATGAAGTTATAAACGACAATTTCAATGAAAAAAATATTTATTTTGCTTATACGAATAAGTATAAATAGCTTTAACCAATAAAATTTTAGTATTATAATCTTTATAGTAATAAAAATTTATTCTTACAAATATTAAATTTATAACACTTGTTCCCCTCATAATTTCGGTAAAATATTTATTAAAAATTTTATTTTAAATAGTATAATATACTTTTAAGTATAAATACTTGGAGAGAGTAATAGATACACATGATTTTTTGATTTGAATAAAATCTCCATAAAGTTCAAAACTAAAGACTTTCAAATAATGTTGAAAATGAGACAATCGACGTAAACTTCTTTAGATTTTCACCCAAAGCATACAATGCTACATTTCAACAATTTATGATCAACATTTATAATTGAAAAAATATTTATACCGTTTATAAAAGTAGGATTTCCTATTAATATTTATATAATATTGATTAAAGAGACATGTATTTTTAATTTAATATTTGTAGGGAAAAATTTCTCTTAAATATTTATAAGAAGTATTATTCTAAAATTAAATTTTTTGAAAAGCAAAGTACTATTTGTCTAAAAATAATTAAATAATAAAAATTTTAAAAGTCAAGTCAGAGAAGAAAAAATGTTACCGAATTGGCGTAATAGTCAAAAGCTAAATGATTTGTTACATTTAGTCAATGGAAAGTAATCAATTAGGTATTAGCAATCATAAAACAAGACTGTGTAACGTTAGACATAAATAAAAATCTTTCAAAATATTTTATATTTAATTGTATAAATAATTAATGTTAGAACAAATGTTAAAGATTATGATTTTGAAACATAAAATTATTTTTTCTAAAAAAGATATTGATTTCGTCGTGAAATTAATATCAGAAAATCTACTATAACTTATCACAGCCCCTAAATCGTGTGAACAAAATTGAGAATCCTTAAATAATAGATACTAGTATTTTCACAAAATACAAAAAAAAATGCAACCTAGCAATTGCAACTAATTTAAAATTATAGTCACAGTTATATAAGTATTAAAATATAATTGATAAAGTTTGAATTCAAATTTAAAATTAATAATTTATCATTAATAAATAAATTATTATTTTCTGCCAATGAAATCAAATTCCAAGTGTCAAGACACACACACAAATATACATACATATATATATATATATTAAATTGGATTTATTATTCTAAAATAATAGGAGGGGGATCAATTTTATTAAATTTAATTGTATTTTATTCTAATCAATGCATTCCAGATTCTTTAGGAGATTATAGATTGATGGAGAGACAATACAGATGGTCTATGTGGGAATTGGTCATCTCATTTCCCTTGCTTCTCTGTTTCCTAATTTCCTCAATATCACTTTCCTTCTCATTTGGAATTAGTTTCAAAGTGAGATTTAAATCTCGTAAATATTTAAGGATTTCAACAGGAATATTGTTTTGTCTTTTCATCTCCTATAACTTCAACTATCATTTCTTTTTGGGTACAAAAAGATGACAAAAGAAAAAATTAATAAAAAAAGAATTTTAACCAAATTAACTAAAAATAATGGACCAAGAGTAGAAGGAGACTCATCCAAAATAGTTAAGATCGCGTCATAATTGATTCTGGACTAGGCAAAAGATTTGTATGAGCATTAACTTTTACAAAGTGCAAGAGATTGTAACAAGTTTGCACTAATGAAACAATATAATGATTCAGGAATGGTTGCATCATACAAATGCATTTTTAATGTTATATGAGAGCAAACTAATCTAACAGTTTTCAAAGAGATAGATCCACATTGAACCTGATTGAAACCAAGCTTTCACCCAAAACTAAATCAACCTAACTATCCAAATTTGATTTCTTGATTTTAAAAAAGATATTTTGAATTCAACTCTTTTTTTTGTCAGATATAATTCTTTTAGATTATTTAGAATACAAGGCTGTAAGTATATTAAAATTATGGGTTTGAGACATAAAATTATTTTTTAAAGAAAATATAATTCTTGCTACAAGGTTATAGTGCTAATTAATCTCTTTCAGGATATAACAAAATTACAAAACTCTCCAAATATAATTACAAATAAAAATTTGTAATTGACAAAAATTTATAGTTAAAAAATACAAAAATTCACCAGTAAACAGTTGCAAATAATATGAAATTAACAATCACAATTAATATTTGACTGTTATATATCATTCTATTTCGGTCTAACTAGCTTAAAATTGTTAAGAAAATAGATAAAATTTAGATAATATTTTTTGATTTTATCTTTAAAAATTAATGTTAAAATAAATATTGTAACAACCCAGAATATTTTAATTTTTATTTGATTAAGGACTAATCTGTAGTAATTATTTTGTCTGGGGACTGAAGTGAAAATAGTTCAGGGACTGTTTTGTGAATGACACGAGGTTCAGGGACCTGATCTGCAATTTGCAGAAAATTTGTCAGGAACAGTGGCCGAACACTGTTCTCAATCGATTCAGCCACTTCTTTGCCATGATTTGAGTCGGCTTTTGGCACGTTATTGCGTGTATTTTGATTGAAGGGTGAATGGAACCCCTCATTCAATCGGAAGTTTTGAGCAAGGGAGGGGGAGAGATTTCAGAGTTTCGGTTGGCGAAGGGCCGAACGGCTTGCGCGAGCTTTTAGCTTTTTCCGGCAGCTTTTCTACCGATTGATCGGCTGGAGCAGCTCGTCGAAGGGTGCTCTGCAAGTTTCTGCTCCGATTGATCGAGGTGAGGCTCGTTTTTGGGCTGTTCATCTTGTTTTTCCGGTTGGCCGGACGTTGCAGACACCCGGGTTGAACACCCGGGTGCCGGGTGAAGGGGACGAACCCGGGGGGGTTCCGGGTCCCCCGTGCTGGGCTGGTCCAGGCCGTTCGGCTGGGCCCAGCCCAGTTACTTGTGCGGCCCCGGGCTTGAGCCGCGGGCCGACCCAAAAAAAAAAAAAAAAAAAAAAAAAGAAGGTAGTGGGTTGGGCTTGGGCCAGCGGCCCAAGCAAGGGGCCCGAGCCGTTGGGCAGGCGGCTCGAGCCGAGCCGCAGTCCGAGCCCAGCCGCGAGCTGCGGCTCGAGCCAAGCCGGCTCATCAAAAAAAAAAAAAAAAAAAAAAAAAAAAGGGGAAAGGGGTTTGACCGAACCGGCCGGGACTTTGACCGGCCGGTTCAGTGGCCATTTTGGCTTGGTTTTGGAGGTTGGACCGGTTCTGAGTTCAGGGGGATGAGGGCTATCAGACCAAGTGGGTTCGGGAAATTTTGGGCACCCGGTTCGAGGTGAACCGGTCTCGGTTTGCGTGCCGATGCTTGGGATTAGGGTTTTTGCCCGGTTCGGAGCTGGTTTGAGCCATTTTTGGCCGGTTCATAGTGGTTCCTAGGGTTTTTGGGCCTTCTGAATCCGATTTTGAGGGTTTCGTGGCCGTTTGAGTTGAGTCGGAGATAGTTTTAGATCGGGCTAAACCGGTTCGTGGGTTTTGGAGATCGGTTCGTTGCGGTTCGAGTTTTGTGGAGGCTGGTTCCGTAGTTTTGAGGGTGGTTAAGTAGATTTGTTCAGTGTTACTGAGTCGCGTAGGTTCTGGTGACAGGTCGGGTTGCCTCGAGATGCGTGTCCGGGGGCCGGTTTGGGATTTTAGTTCAGTTTGAGGCTACCGAGCCTGTTTCTTGTGCCGGTTTTGGCGTTGGTGATGGTTTTGTGTGATTTTGATTGCAGATTCGCAGGCAGGGGCACACTCGGATCACTGAGTCGGGTTAGGTGACTCGGGACTCTCGTTTTGGCTTAGCGTCTGTACAGTGAGTGACGATACCTTTTCTATGCTTGTGTTTCCATACTGTTTTATTGGCATGTTGATTATGTGACTTCTTAACTGTATCTGGACTATGTATGTGTCCTTGTGTACTATCAGTGAGCTGTATTGATATGTTGTTATGAGATTTGGAATATGAATCGTATGTGTTTATGTATACCTGTTTGTGATCGATGTGTGAGGATGGTACCACATGATGTGATTTGGACAGAAGGAGCTCGGCTGGACATACGGTGACCCGTAGTGTCCAGTGGTGAGTCGGCCTGAGTCCTTGTTGAGGCAGCAGGGGCTGCGAGTATGATGTGCACATTGATGACGTGTCATGGGATGGCAGCTCAGCCGACGGACGGTGGGCCGTAGTATACGGGGAGTGCCTTGGTTTCCGTGTTGGGACGACTTTTGGGATACCGAGGACTCGCCCGGCATGCGGTGTGCTGCCGTAGCGTGCGGGGAGTATTCTGGCCCAGTGGATGGGATGTGATGGGTTGGTTACAGTGATACGTTGCATATT